ACCTTTGAAGGCCGTCCCGAGGGCTTCGCTGTCGTACCTTTGAAGGCCGTCCCGGGGGCTTCGCTGTCGTACCTTTGAAGGCCGTCCCGAGGGCTTCGCTGTCGTACCATTGAGTAGAGGCTTCCTGTTTCGGTCCCTTTGGATGGACGCATCATGCGGGTCCACGATGCTGTGGGTTTGAGTTGTGTGAGCAGAAGAGCGGCTTGACGTTCACTAGCCACGTCTTACAGCTGCGTGGGGCCCGGAGCCTTAAACCTTATATCTCGGCGGTAAAACCTGCATATCATGTTTGGGTATATATGACTCTGCAGAGCTGCTCCCCTTAAGGTTCAGTTCTTTCTATACATCTTGGGGAGGCAGCAATTTCTGAAGCAGCTCTGCAGCCCGTTACGGAGACGGGAGGTGGGATATTCCTGTGCCACGACAGCTTCACCCCAGGAGGTGAGGTCAGGAAGCTAGACCAGTGCCCTCCCGCCCGGTGTCGCCGTGCCCTGACGGCCCCCTGCTCTGTGCCAGGGTGCCCGGACAGCCCTGCTCCAGCTCTCGGACCTGCGCCAGGGACAGTACCCCTTCCTGCTCACTGTCACTGACTCGGCCGGCCAGCAGGCCTCAGACGGGGTGACGCTCAGCGTACAGGCAGGTGGGCACCGGCACACCAGCATTCGCATTGCATATTATGGGATGTTGGGCACGCTCCGGCTGCCCGCCTGCTTGGCCAGGCTTAGAAGAGTATCCACTCTAACCAGTGTCCTGTTTACTAGCACAGGATATTAAAAAGGAAGGTGAATAATTAGACATTTTCTCCACGAACACGTTTCATAGAGGAGAAAATCAAGCTAATCCTGGTATTTTAAATACTATGGGACCATAACAGGATGAGCTTTGTGTGTGGGGGGGGCGGTAAGGGAAAAGACACTGTGGCCTCATTCTGAGCCATGTGGGGGTGTTTGTGTCCTAGAGAGGAACGCCCCCCCCGTGGCAGTGGTTAGCCCCCACCAGCTGCTGACCCTCCCCATAAGCAGCACCAGGCTGGACGGCAGCAGGAGCACGGATGACCGCGGGATCACGGCCTTCCACTGGGGGGCGCTGAGGTACTCCCGCCTGCTCAGCCAGATACTAACCCAGAGTGACCCAGTGAAACCAGAAGGTGCATCTTCAGATAGTCACAGACACAGTGTATTACTCTCCCTCAGAATTAAGAGTCAGTTTATGTAAAGGTGTGGGGCGAAGTGGGGGCTCTGAGGCTAGGGATCTGTGTCTGTAACCGGAAGGTTGTTGGTTCAAATCCCACAAGTGCCCAGAGTCATTCTACTCCATTGGGCCCTTGAGTATGGTGCTGAGGTATCACCTTCCCCATGGCTGCACTCAGGTTCTCATCCCTGAGGTGGTTTGTCATGTGGTGGCTGCAGCCACACACTGTACTCAGCTATAATATTATTGACATTTCACATCCCATACAGATGAGTAATTTAATGTAAACCATGCCTCTAGAGCCATTCATATGCTGTTTTTGTGAAGCCAGTGTGGTCTGACTCTTTTTTGCCTGAATACTCTTCCTTTCTGACCACACCCTTGTCCTCCAGACTCTACGCTCCGACCCCCACAGCGCTGTTTTACTTTTTACTGGTTTTTATGACTTACTGTCAAAGTCACTAAGCCTGAGTCTGGAATTTTTCTTATTGATGGAGCTCAAGGCAAAAAAAAAAAACAACAACATTTCAGATTTGTCATCAGTGCCTGGCCCTTCAGTGGGTGACTTGTGTTACTCATGGAGCCCTCTAGGGGGTGCTGCATTTTAAGCGTCTCATTCTGTCATACTACCACTCGTCCTTTGCTCTTGCTTTGAAGTGGTCCCTCCGGGCTGACAATGGAGGACTCTGACAAGGCTGTAGCCCTGGTATCAGGCTTCCAGGCTGGTCACTACACCTTCAGGCTGACAGTGGAGGACCAGCAGGGGGCGACAGACAGCGCCTACCTTAACGTCACTGTATGTGAAGGTGGGTCTGCTTTCATCCAGTCATCCCAGTCGCAGTTTTCCAGGCGGACCTTGCATAGGTTTCCTTACTGCTCTGGATTTGCTAGTCAAAGTTTATACCAAAGCTGTCATGTCCAGTTTAACTCTTTATGCATCTGGTTGAGTGACTATGAAAAATGAGAGTCTGTGTTTGCCACTTGAGTCAGTGTTAACCCCCCCACAGGTGTAAAGCAGCCCCTCTCAGTCCACACCAGTGGGGGCCACACCTTGGTTCTGCCCAACAACTCTGTAGTGCTGCAGGGAAATGTCTCTGGTGCTGAGCCGGACTCGGTGTCCTACCTGTGGGTCCGGGATGGGCAGAGCCCAGCAGCAGGGGTGAGTCGGCAGGCACCGTCTGTAGGGCTCCTGTAGTTTGTTGGTTTATTTTTAATCTAAATATTGAAATGTCTGGAGATTCGTTATTGCATCTCTAATTCAGCGATTCTCAATCCATGGGGAAGCTCTGAAAGGGTTGCGAGGCAGAGTTGGAAATGTAAGCATTTTAAAACCGGTAAGCTCCTATGCTGATCCAGGATCAGATTTACCAGCCCCAGTCCTACAATTAACCTATATGAACGGGTCTTGGGTCTGCAAATGCAAAACTAGTGAACACTCAACCAGTCCAAGAAGTCAAACCACAGATGCTGAATGTAAAATTCACTGGCACTGTGTGCTTGATCATTGCATTAATTTAAACCTATACGTGATATAGGGTCGCGACTGAGCTGACATGACAAAGGCTAGGTCGCAGTGCAAAAAAGGTTAGAACCACAACTCTAAGTGATTCTAACTCCCCCTAGTGGTCATGAATGGTGTTTCTCTGATAGGACAGCACTATTTTTTGCTGTAGTGTATTGCTGCATGACAAAATTTAATTGGCCCAGATTCTCATTATAAAAATGTTATGCAACTTTGTTTGGCTACATATCAAATATAGATGAACATTCTCAAGTTGGAATGGGGAACATATTATGCCTTATTTCAGTGAAAAAATGTACTACCATAAAACAGTATTTGCACACTTGCAAACGGTATGCAGTGGCTTGACCACATGAAGTAAAACTTGATCAAGTCATTATCAGCTTGGTTCTCCTGTTTTACATTCACTTTGTTCTCTGTACCCCAACATAACATACCCGTTACTTGCTGCCGAAATGTTCGAGACTGAGAGCGCTGGCACCCCCTGCACACACTGGTAACACACTGTGGCCCCCAGGACGTCCTGTACGGCTCGGAGCGCTGGCACTCCCTGCACACACCGGTAACACACTGTGGCCCCCAGGACGTCCTGTACGGCTCGGAGCGCTGGCACTCCCTGCACACACCGGTAACACACTGTGGCCCCCAGGACGTCC